CTCTTACGGTCGTGCATGTCCTTCTTGAATGTCCTGACTTCCGGGATGAGCGTGTGTCTTGCTTTCCGACCGCCCCTCGCGGTCACCTGTCCCTCAATAGAATTCTTGGTGACTCGGATACTTTTGATATCGTTCGCCTTATGCGTTTTTGTTCTCGTATTGGCATCCTTGGTGATATTTAGTGCCCTCTGATTATTCCGCACATTTGCTGGTGCTACATAGCCTTCCCGGTTTGGTGCCTTCTTTTGATAATTACTTACTTACTTCACACATTTCCTTTTCATTTTCCATGTATCTGTCCCCCATTTTCAACCTCTGTATATTATCCTTTACCTGCAGCTTACTTTTAATGAATTTATAGAAAAGGCCTGGATCTGATTTACATTTGTCTGCTATACTGTTCTCAAAGTTCCTCTCTGCCACTCTCCTTACTGATGTGTAGTTGTTTCTTGCAGCTTTGTATCACTGGTATGTTTGGGGGTTTGGCCTCTTTCTATAATGATTCCATGCTTGTAACTTTTGATCTCTGGCCCTCTCGCAATATCTGTTGAACCAACCCTGTTTCCTAGGTCTGCATGTCTGTTTTGGTATGAATATTTGTGTGCCTTCATCATATATTGTGCAAAATTTGGCATACATCTCGTTTACTTCCATTTCCTAGCAACAAGTCTGTCCAATTATACCCAAGAAAAAATGTCCAAGTTCCCCATAGCGTCCTCTCTTGAAATCGAGTTTAACAACTGTTTCACTGTCCCCATTCTCATTCCTTGTCCCCATGTCAACATGTCCCCATTCATTGAGTGTGTAATACAGTGTTACTGTGTAAATAGTGTGTGAAACTGTACATATTGTAATTTTAGTGAATTTTTAACAAGTAATATTGCAACAATAAGCATTTATTGTGGACACATTGCTGACACATGTATCACATTCCATGGAACATTATGAACGTTCTACTATATACATATTGTAAAGGACACACATATGCATCATATACGATAACAAAAAATAAATAAAACCGCATTGGAAATACTGTACATAGAACAAATAATTGAAAATATATTTGTGGCAACTCGTGGTGCTTAAATGGCGCACGCAACCGCCTCTGGGAGCTTCACGCACTGGCAATCGGCCCGTGACGCCTCCGTCTCCACGTCCCCACAGCGTAAGTGGATTACTTTTTTTTTTTTTATGTACATGTACATGTTCAGGGAAGGGAATTTATCATTTTACAAAGATAAAAAAAAAATTGCAAACACTTGATTTTAAGTGCACAGGGGGAATTTCACAATAAACTTGGCGCATCACAGTGGTTAAACATTACAGATTGCAACCAGCCACATAAACTTAATATTTATTTCCACTAGAATTAAGGGTATTATTTGCTATACATGCAACTAAATTGGCATAAGTCACGACAATAAAGCAGTGATGCTTTGCAGAAGATATATTGTGACTCACCAATTACAACCACGGCCTTTTCCCCACACCCAAAGGTCACGGGACGAGTACATCCATGCCCCCGTGTATGCTGCCCCTTCTACCATATTGGCATCAATGACTTGGCCTTGTCCTGTAACACACAGCACTGTGGTAACAATTTAGAATATGTTGTAAAACATTTATTGTTCAGTGTTAACAAGATGGCTAAACAAAGACAGCCAAGTACAGACACCATAATACAATGACAAATATCAAAAGTAAAAAACTTTGCTAAGAATTCTGATTTACACTGGAAAAAAATCAAGTTTCAGAATAAAGCTTTAAAAACCAGATAAAGGGTACATTAATAGGAATCTTATTTACGACTCGCATATAAAAGTGTGCTACTGTGAATACAAAGTATGATAAATGATTTATGGAATGGAGTTACACATATTAAATAAAATTTCAAGAAGCAAGCTAAAAATCTAATATCAACTCTGAGACCTTATTCCCTTGGCAAATTCATATCCCTTAAATGTTAGCTTTGTGAAAATACTTTTTTCCTTCATATGCTAAAGGAACAATAGAATAGTTCCACATACTGATCTAGCTACTGCTTAAGCTCTTGCCAGCTCTTACAGAGATAAATAAGAATTTGGAAATAGGGATTGCCTTAAGTATATATTGTTAAAGAATACAAGTAAAAGCGGCACAAACATGAAATTAATAAATCTACAAATACCGTAAAAGATAAACTGATAGTCGAGAAACTGAGGACACTCCAAAATGATGTTGCTCATATTGAAGATGGTACTGCAATATGAGCATAATAGGCTATCAAGTGGTGCTGCAATATGAGTATAACAGGCTATCAAGTGGTGCTGCAATATGAGCATAACAGGCTATCAAGTGGTGCTGCAATATGAGCATAACAGACTACCAGGTGGTGCTGCAATATGAGCATAATAGGCCATCAAGTGGTGCTGCAATATGAGCATAAAAGGCTACCAGGTCGTGCTGCAATATGAGCATAACAGGCTATCAGGTGGTACTGCAATATGAGCATAAAAGGCTATCAGGTGGAACTACATGAACATAACAGGCTGTCAAGTAGACGGATGCTAAAGCTTAGGTTCTCCGGTGGACCTATCATGATCCCAAATATGTTGTCTATGTAGCGATAGTATATTAGCGGTCTGCCTTGGTACCGGGTAATTTGTGATTCAAAGACCACGTGTATGAAAATCTCAGCAATCTCTACACTTGATGCTCCTATTGCCGTGCCTTTGATTTGCCTGTAGGTGCTGTTATCAAAGGTGAGGATGGTATCCCGCATGATGTGTAGGATTGCCTCTATCATGAGTGCTCTTGAAGGTGGGGTCCCGACTCCTGTGTCACATAGGTCTTGCTTTATCCTGTGGGTGTTTGCTTAAAAAAAAAATCTACTACCACCGTTGCTGCTTCCCGCAGGGGGATGCTCGGGTATAGGGACACTATATCCAAGAAGAAAAGGGTGGCTTCCTGGGGGACTGGGCCCCATGTGCAGTTAACTTCCTCTAACTTGACCAGGAAGTCTGTTGTGTCCACTAACCTCTCCTCCAGGAGACACAGGAGGGGGTTCAGTAGAGCTGTGCAAATCCTATCTACAGGTCTCGTTGGGGCTCTACATCCGCTCAGCACCGGGCATCTCGTCCAGGTACCCGTGATTGGGTCTACTCCTTTGTGGCTTTTCAGGAGGAGGTAGAGGTTCGGGAGCTCTGACTTGAAAGCCAGGAAGAAATTTCTTGCTGCCGTTTTGAGGATACCCTTCCTGCCCTCATACCTGAAAAAATCCATAACTAAGGACCTACTGCGGGTCTGGGCATTCCTGAGGGTCACCTGCCCATTCTCTACTGGTTGATACGTGGTCCCGTCCGCTAGGTGCCTGTTCATTTCTGTTTTGTAGTTGGTCTTTTCCCAGAGGACCACTGTCCCCCCCTTGTCCGCTTGCTTAACAACTACGTCCCTTCTTCAAGTCTTCGCAGGGCTGCATGATGCTCCGGTTGGAGGTTGAAGTGGCAGCGCTCTGCTACCCGTGTCTCTAGGAAAGAGGTCAACAGGTTCATCTGGTCACGTAGGCCATTTAGTCGGAAAGGGGTCTGGGGTCTAGGCTGGGGGGGGGGTTAGGTAACAGGTCGATAGGGAGGGGTTGACCACTTACGGCGTGGGGGCGGTTCCAGGGCTGGTTCCCCTGACCGGAGGCCACTCCAGGCCGAATTGATCTGAGCCTTCAGGGTCTCCAGAGTCTGGTGGATTATCTGGATCCTTCTCTGTGCCGAGGGGGGGTCCTGTCACAAAGGTGAGGCCTTTGCTCAGGAGTTCCCGCTCAGGGGCCATTATCTTAACCTCCATCACTACTGTCTGCCTTACCAGGTGCGACCTCCTCCTCCTCCTCCCTCTTCCTCCAGACCAACCTCTCCCGCCATCTTTCCACCCATTCCCGCCACCTTGGCCTCCTGACGGGGGTCGCTGGTAGGCATTGCCTCGTCTTCAGCTCCCGGGGCTTGAAAGGTCTGACGACCTGGACCTTGTATGGACCTGATTTTTGTATGCAGGCGGGTAGAGGAAGAGATGACTTCTGATTCTTGTTACTACGCTTGGAGGTTTCCCTTCCTGTGGTTTATCTTATTATCGTAATCTATTCCATTTTTTTCTGCTTTGCTTGCCCTTTCCATTACATTTTACTTTTTTTCCATTTTGTATCTTAATAATTTATTAACTGCTCATTTCCAGTTCATCTAAAAAAAAGCATTTCTGATAAACCAAGAAGTTTTGTTTACCTATTATTAGAGTGAGTAAATCACAACTAGAGCTCAGCCAACTAGACAATTAACACACACCTGATATGAAGAAAAATATCCTTACCAAATGAGGATCAACTGTTCATGAACATTGTCTCACCTAAATTCTTCATAGCTCACACTCACCTGATTTTGAGCGTTCAAACAAAGCAAAGGCAATGCCAAGTGCACATATAAGACCTCCACCTGCAAAATCTGCTAACAAGTTGATGGGTGGAGTTGGTGGGCCTTCTTTGCGTCCAAGCAGTGACAACAGGCCTGGGAAAAAAGCATATTGCATCAGAATCAACCACTGTACTGCACAGAGCGCCCTAAGGTGCTCTGAGAGTTGTGCCATTTTTTTAATTAGGCTATATTTTAATGTTTTTAAATGTTTTCATCACTTGTGTTTTGAAATTAAAATGGTTGAGTTTGGAAACATTTTGACGTTAACTTTACCTGAACATTTATAAAAACAACAAAAATATGTCCTTAACAATTGCACTAAGAAGTTTTAGCCAAAACCAGGAGCACAGTGCAGTGGTTAAGTAGTTTCTCCACTGCAGTGGAGAAAAATGTCACAAAGTGAGAAGGGACCCAGGGGTCACATCCATCAAACCAAAGAGATCCAGTGGGATTTCCAGGGCCCTTGTCACGTAATCTCGCTAAGGAAAGCCCAAAGCCCAGGCAGGGTACTGCTAACCGGTGCCCAAAGTTACCAACCATAATGCTAAAGCTGAACTCCCGGGAAATGTACACTCGCAGGGTGAGTGTACACCTAGTGGAGGACCACCGAGATTTAAATGGGTGTGACCAAAACCAAAGGGCAGCCAGCCCCCCCCCCCCCTGCCAGGCAGGAAAACAAAAAGAAAAGAAAAATATCCGCAAGAGGACAACATACCCAGGTGGAACAGAGCCGGCCGTTATGGGAGGTGAAAACTAGCTGCACAGTACCTTGCACCCCAACCAGTGACGAAACTACACCCTATCCAGAAGTAAACAGTAGTGCAAGAAACACCCCAGCTGACTCCAAGGGGTGGTCAATGACCAAGCAGCAACAGACCTTGCAAAGGTAGACCCCAAGGTGACTTGTTGAAGTTGGCCCCAAGGGCAGTACTTACAGGGTACCTAGGGAAGGGGACCCTAGGCATATGCAGCCCGAGTACTTGTGAAATAACTCCTCGCTCACGCACCACCACTAAGACAGCACCACACCACAAGGTACCAAACTGGAAACACAGGAACCAGAAGCACACAACCTTGCCAGTTCACTTCAGCCACAGAACTGCAGGGTGGATAGCTGGCGCGGGGGTCTGGGGCTCTGGGAAGGAAGGGGGGGATTGTGCAGACAGCAGTTTGGTGATGTAATGACAGTGATGTTCTGTCCACTAGTTTGGCTTTCAGTAGTAATATTTTAACCAGACTAAGGGTTTGTTTTGGGGCGCTTACCTTTCTGGGTGCATGACCCAGTCGATGGCCGAGTCGGTCGGCCGAGCGGACAGCACACTGGACTTGTGATCCTGAGGTCCCGGGTTCGATCCCAGGCGCCGGCGAGAAACAATGGGCAGAGTTTCTTTCACCCTATGCCCCTGTTACTTAGCAGTAAAATAGGTACCTAGGTGTTAGTCAGCTGTCACGGGCTGCTTCCTGGGAGTGGAGTCCTGGTCGAGGACCGGGCCGCGGGGACACTAAAGCCCCGAAATCCTCTCAAGATAACCACTCAAGATACTCAAGATGGCAGACATAGAATGCTTCCAACCACACGGGAGTTTCTACAGGCCATTGCTCCTCGTGCCACTCTGAGGGGGGCCAGGTTCTGGCTCGTAGTCCCCGGTAGGCCTACAAATCCATGAGTACTGACTGATGCCAGGGTCTAATACAAAATTCATATCAGCCCGGTTAGCTCCAGGGAGCCATAGGGGTCCCCCCCCCCAAGAAAATATTATAATCTATAGTGCCTAAGGATTAAGCACTATAGAGTCAAAGTTTCAATGGCATGATGTACCACAATGAAAATTATTAATATTCTTTTAACTTTTTAAAATTAATAGATAAATAGACAAAGAAAATATACAGAGTGCACTCACCTGACAGTGCTAAATAATTGATGTCATGCCCAGCCATATCAGCATAGGGTCCAGACTGCCCAAAACCAGTGAGTCTAGCATAAATAAGCTTTGGATTGTCCTTCATGAGTTCCTTTGGTCCTAAACCCATCTTTTCCATGACTCCTGCAAACAAATTATTATATGAAACAGTTCTAAATAAATACACAGATGTGATATATATATTGTACTGTAAGACCTATGCAACATACCAACTAGATTACTCAAAGGTTATCTTCTTGAGGTTATCTTGAGATTATTTCAGGGCTTAGCGTCCCTGGTGCGGTCCTCGACCAGGCCTCCTTCTTGTTCCACACCCCCCAAGAGGGTGTCTAACTCCCAGGTATCTATTTACTGCTAGGTAACTGGGGTATCAGGGTGAAAGAAACTGCTCATTTGTTTCCGCCTCCACCGGGGATCGAACCCGGAACCTCAGGATTATGACTCTGAAGCACTGTCCACTCAGCTGTCAGGTCCCTTGATTAAAAATGTCATGGTGGTTGAGTAAAGAATTTGGGGTTCTTACCTTTATCTGTACTGTACTTTTAAATGAGGTAAATAATTAAATGAAAGAACCTTCAAATGTCAAAGCATGATTGATACTAAACATGCTCAATCTTCAAAAGAAAAGTATAACCTTCAAAATATAAACATGCCATCTCAGTTTAACCCTTTCACTGTTCTAGTTAATAATGGTCAACAAATTAAAGAATCTACATGCTTTGCAAAAATCAACTTTTCCATCTGTTGCCAGGAAAAAACTCAACAAATCATGTGATATTGGATTGTAAAGGAAGCAGATATCTGTACAAGTGAACATGGTGAAGCTGTACCAAGACTGGGACATTCGCCCAGTAACGATGGTGGTCTCAAGAGACCAAGACAAAGAGGTGATGGGGGACGTTGGTAAGCAAGTAGAATTGTATTCAAAGGATTCTGCTTAATCTACCTACCAAGTTAATTCACATGTCTGAGGAGCAATAGAGATCCCTCCTAGAGTTAATAATGCCTTATAAGTCTATTTTCAAAGATGCTCCAGGTTTGACATCCATCTTCAAGTACAGGCATACCTCAGAATACGAGTTTAATCCGTTCCTGGAGACGCCTCGCCTTCCGAAAACTCGCATTCCGAAGTTAATTTCCCCATAAGAAATAAAGGGAAATGAATTAATCCGTTCCTGACTACCCCAAAAACCCCACATCAAACTAAATTTTTTATACCTAATTTACCTAATTCATCTAAATAAACCTACAAAACTGTGTTCCAGTTATTACTTACCTTGCTGTCGAGTGCTGTAGGCGTATGGAAGATGGTGAGGAGGGGGGAGAAGGAGAGGAGTTACTGTTTGGAAGGGGAGTCCCCTTCCATAATCACATCACATAACCCCATGCCTTGTAAAACTATGGATACCACTTCTCTTTCTAAATTTTTCAAACCAGCCCCTGCTTGCCTTAAACTCTTTCTTATCTGCATCACTCGTTGCAGGGGTATTCTTTAGAAGGTCTTCGTGCAACACCCTGGCTTTCTCACAAATAATGGCCTCCGAAACACTATCACCCCTCAACTCCTTGTCGTGTATCCAAATTAATAACAACTTTTCCACTTCAAGTATTTGTGGTCTTTGTGCCGTTAATGTTCTTACTCCTTTTGCCACTTTAGCACCCATAATCTTATTTTTCTTCTTAAGTATAGTGCATATTGTTGATGTGGCTTTGTTGTACTGCCTACAAAGTTCAACAACACGTGTACCGTTCTCATGCTTCCGAATGATCTCTTGTTTCTCCTATATTGTCATCCTCACATGAGCTTTCTGGCCTTTATCCTTACCACTGGCTTTCTTGGGACCCATGGTGAGATATATAATAACAAATTGTATAGACAAATCACCAAAAATCAAACAAAACACTGAAAATCCGCAAGAAGAATTGATGTGGGGGTAGTCACTGAGCGCGAGACAATGGTAAACTGAGGGGCGGCGGGGCGGAGGGGCGACGATCGCCGAACCACCACGCGCTGGGTCGGCCTGTACGCGTATCAACAAACTCGCGTCCCGAAGTAACCCTCGCCTTCTGAGACAAATTTTTGGAGTAAATACTGCTCGCCTTCCGAAAACCTCGCATACAGGGACAATCGCATTCCGAGGTACCACTGTACTACATTATCCTTGGGGAGGGTGGGAGATCGATAAAGCAACATCCCTACCAACTAAATCCCCGTCAGGTGATGGTGGCAAGATGTAAGATTGACTACATGCTCCAACATAATTTAATTTGATCGCCTCAAATATTAATCCATGGTCATCCCCCCATTCTGCTAGTACCCAAGCCTGGTAATGAGCATAAGTTATGCATAGATCACCAACATGTTAACCCTTTAACTGCGCAACGCGCCTGCAGGCCCACGTCTGGGGTGCGCTACGCGCCTCCAGGTATTTGTATTTTTCACATTCCATTCAAAACTCCCGCGGCTATATGGGGTTCACATCAGCTTCCTCAGTGCTCTTGTAAACAGACGCCATCTTTAAAAAAAATCGTGGTCCATATTCCAGGGTGTGAGAGCCTCAGTAGTGAGTGGGCAACCAAGGCCGGCGCACGCAGCATGAGCTCACAGCACTGCTGTTCAGCTTGTGACCACAGCATCTCCTAATAATGTCAAAATATATATATAACTTGTATTATTTAGCCATGATAGTATTACAGAAGAGCCTGAGTGTGATAATGACCGTGTACAATGTTCAAATAATAGTGATTCAATGCTGTTTACGATGTTCACAGTGCTAGCCACAGCACCACAGCATTATTTCGTCCATCTACGAGTCTTCAAACGACTTCTTGGGTTCCTTTACAAAATACACTTGTGGTCAATTATGTATTTACAGGATTTAGTGACCAGTATTGTGATAACAGCAGGATTGTGGTGATAATAAGCACTGTGTGTAGTATTGTGGGAGGAGTAATTGTGGTGAGGGAGCAAGGGAGAGAATCGAGGTAGCCTCACTGTGTGGCAGCCATTCTTGTTTTGCTCATCATACTAGCTTAGTGGTTCGCTATGGTGAACACATTTGTACATGGGTATATACAATGTGTGTATATAATGTAGTAACAGCAGCAGGAGTATGTTGGGAGGAGCTATTTTGGTGAGGGAGGTGACGTAATTGTAGCGTCGTCTGCTGGCTGCTGTGTGATTTCTCATACAGTGTATGGTGGCCACTGTAAAGTTTGGATACAACACCGGCTTACTTGCATAGTTCTGGTGAATAAAACATGTAGATAAGTATACATAACATGTGTAAATAGTGTAATACAAACAATAACAGTATGGTGGGAGGAGCAATGTTGGCGAGTAAGATGTTGGAGGAGTGAGGGTGTGGCAGCTGACACCCGTGGAATTCTGAGTGGGTTCATGGTGAGTCTGTTACTATACTCTTACTCAGGGAAGGGGTTTTGACACTTTAAAAAACAGAAAAGAATTTTTTCCAGAGATTTTATTCCCTGCACACTGGGGGGTGTCATATTTGGAGACCGCACAGTTAAGGGGTTAATAAGGTCACAGTAGCTGATACACATCCCCTTCCCAGAACAGAAGAGTGTATTGATACCATCTGTAAGGTCCCCCTACCTAACGAAGTTCGTACCTCTGACAGAGCGTGGCAAACCTATCTCTGCTTTTGTAACTCCTGTAGGCCTTTTTGAGTGTCAAGTGATGCCATTTGGAATGAAAAATGCCGCCTCTACATTGCAGATTAATGACTATTGTACTACACGACGTAGAGAATGCCATGGTCTACACAGATGATGTGTTGATCGACAATTCCAATTGGGAGGACCATTTGCTGCATATGGAAGCATTTTTTTTTTACTATTCAGCATGCTCAGTTGGTAGTCAATCTGCATAAATCAGAATTTGTTAAGACCTCTGTAAACTTTTTAGGACATGTGGTTGGTGGGGGATGGATCGCCCCTAAGAACAGCAACATAGAAGCTGTCGTTCAGTACCCGACCCCCTCAACACATAATGATGTCCTGCATTTCTTGGGTACCTTGCGGTTACCTTGTGATGATTCCGGGGCTTAGCGTCCCCATGGCCTGGTCCTCAACCAGGCCTCCTGGTTGCTGGATTGATCAACCAGGCCGTAAGACGTGGCTGCTCGCAGCCTGACGTATGAATCAAAGCCTAGTTTATCAGGTATCCTTTTATCCTTTGGAGGTGTTTATCGAGTTCTCTTGAACACTGTGACAGGTTGGCCAGTTATTCCCCTTATGTGTAGTGGAAGCATGTTGAACAGTCTTGGACCTCTGATGTTGATAGAGTTCTCTCTGAGTACCTATTGAACCTCAGCTTTTCAACGGGAGTATTCTGCACATTCCCGGTTTGGTGCCTTCTTTTGATAATTACTTATTCTGCACATCCTGCCATGCATCCTGGTCTCATGTGGTGTTAATTCTGTGCAGGGTTGGACCCAACTCCTCTAGTATTTTTCATGTGTAAATTGTTACATATCTCTCCTGCATAATACAACACATACAAAATATACACTTGCATTTTATAATCAAAACTCAACTTCAGGTTATATTGTAATACAGTATGGGAATACTGTAAATAATTATGGAGTAGACTTCACATACAAGCTATAAAACAAAATATTTTATTAGTTTACCTGCTCTATAAGGCTCAATAAGCACATCAGCATTAGAACATAATTTTTCGACAATACTTCTTCCTTCTTGTTTCTTCACATCTAAAACAATTGAACGCTTTCCACGTCCTAAGCGGTCAACATCCGGTGTGTTTGGCTGTAAACATGTGGAAAGAAAAACACTTTTGAAAGCCTTTAGAGTGCCCAACAGATAGTACTCAAAATAGGACCCAACAGATATTACTGTAGTCAAAATATGGCTACATGAATTTTACAAAACAGGTTTTCGAGTAATATGAAAAACACTTTTCTGGACGGAGTATTCTACTCTGCCCAGGAAAGTGAGCAGAATAGAACAGAGTAGAATACTCTGTTCACTTAGCAGCCTAAAGTATTTCCATTCACTTGGGCTCTAGGAAACTCAAACCATGGACCCCAAGCGTGTAAGGCCGAAGCTCACTTTATTGCATCAAGTAAGTTCTGTTTTTTTTTTTTTTTTACACAGGAACACAGTCAGGCACATGCTAGGGAGTCAGTGGAAAGTTCCTTCCAACACTTCTAACAGAGATCTGTAAAAAGCTCACTAATAAAAATCGAGCCATAGAGAATGCTCATTGAAATTACAAGTGACTGCTATGGGAGCATTTTGGTAATTCACCAGTTCACCTCTTTAGTAGCCTCAGGTGACCATCACCAGGTGGCAGCAACTGTAGGTTCCCCACAGCCCCTCACATGCATTCTGATACCAAAATTTATCTCTAAGTAAAGGGAATGAGGAACAGAATGGAGTGAACAGGAGAAGTAGAATAGGTAACTCAGGGGAAACTAATCTCGCAGCACCTTGGGTTCTGCGAGAATGTGCAACTGAGCTAAGCATTCCACTCCAATTAATATTCCAGACATCCTTGTGCACAGGAATCTTAGCAGATATATGGAAAAAGGCAAACATAGTACGAATCTATAAAAATGGTAGTCGAGAGGAACCTTAAAATTATAGACCCATATCATTAACAAATGTGGTAGTCAAAACTCAAAGAATAGTTAAAACTAAATGGGTTCAACACCTAAAGAGTAATGACATAATAATGGACAGACAGTATGGCTTTCGAACAGGTAGATCCTGTGCAAGAAATCTACATAGTTTATGATAAGAGTCACAAAGATGCTACAGGAAAGAGATGGGTGGGTTGACTGTGTCTATCTGAACTTAAAAATCCAGCATTCAATGTAATGAAATGCCACCATCTAGGTGAGTTGCAGAGGCTCCCTGGAGCTATCGGACTGATATGCAATATATTAGTCTAGGGCATCAGTCAATGGAGTTCACTGCATTAGTGATTAGTCAGTGGTTACCATGGTACTCCGTAACCACTGGCTCGTGGTTACCGGGGACCACGAGCCAGAATCTGGCCCCCTTAGAGAGGCAAAAGGAGCAATGACCTCTGGAAAAAAAAAAAAACTGTGGTTGGGGGTATTCCTTGTGTACCATCACCCCCCTCCACGCTCAGCTCGTTGTTGCCATGAGGGGGGGCTTAATGGGTGGCTGCCGGAGTGTGATGCTCCTTGGGGCAGTCCTCTGTCCTTTTCTAGCCTTGTGCTCCTGCTGCCGTCCTCTCCAATTATGCCGAGCACCTTTTCCTTTTCCTTCTATTTCATTTTTCTCCCCCCTCTTCTCCTATCTGCTTGCCGTTTCCTGCCGACCTTTTGCTTGTTCTGGTTCTTCCCTTGGACTTCTTCTATTTTGACGCCCGGGTGCTTGAGGAGGCATACTCTTGCACCCGTAGAACTGTAGTACCCGACGTCGAGAGCGAGGGGAACCTTTTATTGTCAATCCCCCTTTCGTCACTGAACAATCCTTGCCCGGGTTTCCCGTAGCAATCAGCCTACGGGCCCTGGAAAATCATGCCAGGAATCATTGGACCTGTGGATGCATCTTCCGAGTTCCAGGCACCCCTCATGCGGGTTTGAAAGTTGCTGTGTGCTCGTCTCAGGGTGACAGTCACCACTTTTGCCTCCGTCATGTTGCCTGTTGGGTCTATCTTGAGTCTATCTTGAGATGATTTCGGGGCTTTTTAGTGTCCCCGCGGCCCGGTCCTCGACCAGGCCTCCATCCCCAGGAAGCAGCTCGTGACAGCTGACTAACACCCAGGTACCTATTTTACTGCTAGGTAACAGGGGCATAGGGTGAAAGAAACTCTGCCCATTGTTTCTCGCCGGCGCCTGGGATCGAACCCAGGACCACAGGATCACAAGTCCCGTGTGCTGTCCGCTCGGCCAACCGGCTCCCTAGAGGAGAGTACTAGAGGATTTTTGACAACTGAGAAAGCTACATTTATATAATATGATAATTGCACAAGTAACTTGATGCCATACAAAAACTAGATGATAATGGAGGTTAAATTTGCAAACAAATAATTACTGTAATGAATAAGTTAAACAGAGACAGAGTGAAGGAAAGACTATACAAGAATAACAAAGAAATAAAGGGGACATCTAGTAGCATGAGATGTATAACAGAAGCTAGTAAGGCATGATTACATTAGTCAAAAATAAACAGAACAATTATACATACATGTACATGGTAGTTACCTTGTCAACTCTAATAACACTGGCACCAAAATCTGCCATTATCATGCCGCAGAAAGGAGCAGGGGCTAACCCTGCCATTTCCACAACACGTAGCCCACACAAAGCCATCCTGTAAATACTGCACATTAAAAGTTCAGAATGCTGCAAACTAATGGTTTGTACATTATTCCAATACAGCACTAAGAAATATTTTTGCAATAAGTACAGTGGGAACGTGATTACCTAAATCCCCATTTTATTTTAGATTCTCAGGTTAACTGGATCAATAAGAATCTGTACTAAAGTCAAATTACCACTCAACAAATATGTTAAGAGAAGCATGTTCCAGACTTTCACAATTGCTATGCCACTTTCTGGGCAATAGCAAAAACTCCATGTTGGTACAATAAATTTGTGTACAGATACAGTATTCAACTTTAAACAAAATTTGAATAATTTTTCAGTGAATATATTTTTAATATAAACAATTTACATGGTGCACATTTAACCCTTAAACTCTGCATGGTATACATAGGCGACGGGACCTGATGGGACCATGAGTTCAATTTCTGAAACTTGCTCAAACTCTCTCCAATTTTTTGTGCATAATCTACTACGAAATCCTGCAACTTTGTCTAAATGATTCCCGGTTTGGTGCCTTCTTTTGATAATTACTTACTTACTTGTCTAAATGATCACAAACGTAACTTGAAAAATAATTATAAAATTTAATATTGAAAAATTCAGATTTTCAAATCAGGTGCAAAAATATAAAATATCACCAATTGTTCATTTGGTGTTGTTATGCTCTCAGAATAGCATATGATCTTCATTTTCATAGATTTAGAATACCTGTATAGGTTTTCAGTTTAGTTTACTGTAAAAATATCGTCAATGTGGCATTTGAAATATACGCCAAATTTAGACAACAAAATGTATAACTCCAAACGTTTAGGGTTTATGAAAAATCCATTCTGATAGGATTGTAGAATAGACAGCTGTGCACACCATATGTAAAGACGGTGAGAATCGGTCAGAAACTGGATTTTTTGAAGCTGACTCAAAGTTGAAACTCTAGTTTTAGAGTTAATTGAATTTGAAGTTATCAATAATGAATATGGAAAGGTTACCTTGACCTTACCTTGAGGTTACCTTGAGGTGCTTCCGGGGCTTAGCATCCCCGCGGCCCGGTCGTCGACCAGGCCTCCAGGTTGCTGGACTGATCAACCAGGCTGTTGGACGCGGCTGCTCGCAGCCTGACGTATGAGTCACAGCCTGGTTGATCAGGTATCCTTTGGAGGTGCTTATCCAGTTCTCTCTTGAACACTATGCCTCTTATGTGTAGCGGAAGCGTGTTGAACAGTCTCGGGCCTCTGATGTTGATAGAGTTCTCTCTCGGAGTACCTGTTGCACCTCCGCTTTTCAACGGGGGTATTCTGCACATCCTGCCATGTCTTCTGGTCTCATGTGATGTTATTTCTGTGTGCAGGTTTGGGACCAGCCCCTCTAATATTTTCCACGTGTAAATTATTATGTATCTCTCCCGCCTGCACTCAAGGGAGTACAGATTTAGGCTCTTTAGTCGGTCCCAATAGTTTAGGTGTTTTACTGAGTGGATTCTAGCAGTAAAGGATATCTGCACGCTCTCCAGGTCAGCAATTTTTCCAGCTTTGAAAGGGGCTGTCATTGTGCAGCAGTACTCCACTCTAGAGAGCACAAGCGTTTTGAAAAGTGTCATCATCGGTATAGCATCTCTAGTGTGAAAAGTTCTTGTTATCCAACCTGTCATTTTTCTTGCAGTTGTGACGGCTACTTTATTGTGTTCTTTAAAGGTAAGGTCTTCCGACATGAGTACACCCAGATTAGAAGGTAGTTCTAATTCATTATTTTCTTTTATGTTTTAATAAATATTGTTTGGCATTTGAATATGTGAACGTTGTAGGTCAATATGTGTTGGAATGAAGTCGAGAAAGAATAACCCCCAAAAACACAAACTATAGGGATAGTTATAAAGATTTAGAGGATAAAGTTGTACACTTTATATAAGTGATAAAGCCCTAATCTGGTCCCTAATCTTCAAAACAACCTAAAGAGACAAAGAAAATAGTTTGCAATCTGTGAAAAAATCAGCCCAAAAAAATTCAAAGTCCCAAGTTCTGCCAGTTGTGATTGATTTTATTTGTTGAACTTGAAAAAGTTCAGAGATATTGCACTAGGCTAGTCCCAGAACTAAGAGGCATGAGTTACGAAGAAAGGCTGCGAGAAATGTACCTCACAACACTAGAAGGCAGAAGAGTAAGGGGAGACATGATCACTACCTACCAAATTCTCAGAAGAATTGAGAGGGGAGATAAAGATAAACCGTTTAACACGGGTGGTACGTGAACAAGGGGACACAGGTGGAAACACAGGTGGAGTACCCAAATGAGCCACAGGGACGTTAGAAAGAACTTTTTCAGTGTCAGAGTAGTTAACAGATGGAATGCATTAGGCAGTGATGAGGTAGAGGCTGACTCCATACAGTTTCAAATGTAGACATGATAAGAGCCCAGTAGGCTCAGGAATCTCTACATCAGTTGATTGACAGAAATTAGATTTGTTCCTCCAAGGAGTGCCGGACCAACCGGGCTGTGGTGGGTATGTGGGCCTGCGGGCCGCTCCAAGCAACAGCCTAGTGGACCAAACTCTCACAAGTCAAGCCTGGCCTCGGGCCGGGCTTGGGGAGTAGAACAACTCCCAGAACCCCATCAACCAGGTATCAACCAGGACAGTTGAGAGGCAGGACCAAAGAGCCAGAGCTCAACTTCCACAAGCACAATTAGGTGAGTACTAACATGCAAAATATAATATACTAATAGTACTGGAATCCTGTAATAATATGCTATACAATATACTTTAGGCTTGTATTGAGGTCTCCCTAGATCTAACTATTGAACTTCTCCACGGCATTTTAAATGAATAGTCATATATGTGGAAGACGGTAAACTTTAATACCTATACATCAACGTCTAGTGTTTATAACAAAAAATGGATAAATAGTAGAAGTAAATTAAAAGTGGTTGACATGGCCTAATTCCTATACTCCGTTTCATGATGACTTACCTTTTGACGGTTTGCTCGTAGTGTAGGGTAAATAATTCTTCTAACAACGCCAACACGGTGACGAGTCACTCTTGTAGTTGAGATGAGATGTGCTGTTATCTCACACACACCGGGTGGTATCACCTGGTGGGTGTTATCATGTGATGGCTGCTGAAAACTCCACCGGTATCCAGTGAGTCCAAGTGACCATGTTGTTGCTGAGGGGTAAGGGGCAGCTACAGCACTGGTGCCTATACATACTTTTAATTGTTGGCGCCGGAGGCGGCTAGTAGTGGCTTCGACAGGGACAGGAAGCCGGCAGTTTGGTAAATGTTCACTTACATTTTACCTTATGATTTTTTCAAAATGGATTTTGCACTGAAGTAATGCTTGCCATTTACGGCTTCATAAATAAATAAATAAATAAATATATATATATATATATATATATATAATATATAATATATAATATATATAATATATATATAATATAATATATATAATATATAATATATATATAATATAATATATATAATATATAATATATAATATATATGTATATGTGTATATATGTCGTACCTAGTAGCCAGAACGCACTTCTCAGCCTACTATGCAAGGCCCGATTTGCCTAATAAGCCAAGTTTTCATGAAATGAATGTTTTTTCGACTATGTAACCTACCTAACCTAACTTTTTTGGCTACCTAACCTAACCTATAAAGATAGGTTAGGTAGGGTTGGTTAGGTTCGGTCATATATCTACGTTAATTTTAACTCCAATAAAAAAAATTGACCTCATAGATAATGAAATGGGTAGCTTTATCATTTCATAAGAAAAAAATTAGAGAAAATATATTAATTCAGGAAAACTTTGCTTATTAGGCAAATCGGGCGTTGCATAGTAGGCAGAGAAGTGCGTTCTGGCTACTAGGTACGACTATATATAATATATATAATATATATAATATATATAATATATATAATATATATATAATATATATAATATATATAATATATATATAATATATATATATGATATATATGGAATGATAAATGGAATGCATTAGGAAGTAATGTGGTGGAGGCTGACTCCATACACAGTTTCAAGTGTAGATATGATAGAGCCCAATAGGCTCAGGAATCTGTACACCTGTTGATTGACGGTTGAGAGGCGGGACCAAAGAGCCAGAGCTCAACCCCCGCAAACACAACTAGGTGAGTACAACTAGGTGAGTACACACACACACACACAAATCAATCAATGCGGGAAAAACTACATGTGAAAAATAGAGAATGCTTAACGCGTTTCGGCTTAATTCGCCTTCATCATAGCAAAGTAGAATGAAGATTGAAACATTGTTGATCCGCCAGGGCAGATCACCACCAAGAAAAGGCGAAGGAAAGGAAACAAGAAAGACGGTCGTGGTAACGGGAATGAATCTGACTGGAGAAATGTGGTAAGTGGGGTGCCACAATGGTCCATTTTGGGGCCAACTCTCTTTTTTTTGTTATATACATCAGTGACATAGATGAGAATATTACAAATCACATCATCAAATTTGTAAATGACACTAAAATATATGGCACAGTGGGAAGTGAAAATTATATTTGGGCCTTACAAAAAGATCTATATGAACTCCAAAAATACTCAGAAGACTGGCAAATGTGTTTTAATTTCGAAAATGCAAGATCCCTGCATGTGGGGCATAACAACAACCCACGTCTCAACTACCAAATTAATAACATAACATAACATCAGAATGATAAAGGAAAATATCCTTGCAGCCAGGATCCTCCACTCGCTGAAAGGTGCGCAAGAAGTAGGAGCAGTAGTATAAAAGCTAACCAAACCCTTTAAATAATCAAGCGTACCTTTGACATTTAAGGAAAATAGGAAAATAAGGTAGTCATTCATCTGCATAAATCTCTGGTACGCCTCCACTTGGATTATTTATCCAAGCATGGAGACCTCATTTTCAGAAGGACATAGCTGCTCTGGAGAAAGAACAACTCTGGGCGACAAAAATCATCCCAGACCTGTCAACTCTTGTACCAGAAATGACTGAGGTCCTCAGGGCTAACACTGCAAATCAGTCATAAGTGTTGATCTCATAGAAGCTTTTAAAATACTGAACAATATGGAGGATGTTGATCCAGACAACTTCTTCAGAAGGTCGTATGTAACACAAACAAGTAGCAATGATTTCAAGCTCATCAAGTCAGTGTAGGACTGTGAACAAAAGAGATGCTTTTTCACGCACAGGGTTATAAACTCGTAGACCCACCAACCAGCCGAAGCCATAAATGCCAAAACTCTGCTGAATTTTAAAATCCAGCTAGAAAAAGTCATCAGGAAGAATGTGGAGACCTTTGACAATCCGCCAGCTTCCTGTATTCGTCAAGGCTACTAGTGTTAGTGGCCCTCAGATAAATTCTTCATCTAACAAATTGAAGAGACCCACTTAGTCTCTCATTCTGTAATTCATTTCTCATTACCCCGCTCTTAGGAATGAGGTGTGGAGTCATGTACTGGCAGTGACAGACTCTAGAGTGCCAATGGACTTGGCACCTCGTTGCTCCCAGTTATAACACGACCTTCACCGCCTCCGGTATGGTATTGTGGAGGCATGCGGTGGGTCAGGTGGTGACCCCCCCCCCTCAACTGTGAGGGGTGGGTCAGGTGGTGACCCCCCCTACTGTGAGGGGTGTGTCAGTGGTGACACCTCACCCACCCTCTACTGTGAGGGGTGGGTCAGTGGTGACACCACCCCCCTCACCCACCCTCTACTGTGAGGGGTGGGTCAGTGGTGACACCTCACCCACCCTCTACTGTGAGGGGTGGGTCTGGTGATGGCACCCATCTCACTGTGAGGAATGTTGGGCGAAGGCCTCCTCCCTCTCATCTTTATCTTGAGGGGCGGGTCAGGTGATGGTACCACTGTTAATTTTTCTCTCTGCTCTCTTCACAGGAAGAAAAAAGTGGACTATTCCAAGTTGCACAATCAGGGCCGACATCCTCTAACATTAGTTCAGACCTGTCATGCTGGGGTACCTAACTAATGCCCCATTAACAGCAATAAGAGTGTTGGGCTTTGTCTTGCAGATAAAGTCACCTTTATCCGTGATTCACTGGCATATATTATTCCTGCGTAATTGATGAATGTGTAATTATTAAAAAAAAGAGGTATATTTACAATCACTCGGTCTGTAAGGAATGGCAGAGTAAAGTTTATATATTGAAAGCACTGGAAATACAAATTGACAATTCAACCAAGAATATAATCACTCTACATTCATTTGGTCCTTCACAAAAACATTTATGGTCAGAATAGTAGTCATATACATACAACTGTGCAAGAAACTCTGTACTCGCTACACAAAACCTGGTATATTTCATTTGGAAGCAAATCACCTGATCATATATATATATTCCAATAAAACAGGCTGCACGAGTCAGGGTGCAGACCACAGCCTGAGGGGCCGACTAGCAATTACTTATCAACATTTAATTAAATATACCGATCCAATCCGACTAATACCTATATGTTAGAATTGAGATGTAATTTAAAGATAATGTAGTGAAGTTATTATAACAATTTATACTGCTAAGAGTAGAAATTAGTTAAGATACTATGTCTAGTGTTGGGACGTTGCATAAGGTCACAGCTGGATAGACTTCCTGGTGCTAGGGGAAGTTCACTCTGTGTACCCTAAATAATCCATTAGATTATGATGATAGATATTTTCCCACACCCATTGGCTAATTCATCAACCTAACTGTTATTTCCCATGAAACTCTTAGTGTAGTGAATGTTGGCCAACAGATATCTACCTATCTCTTGCATGGACGAACTCCTTTACTAGAATTCCTTGAGAAAGGACACTTAGGAACCTCATATATCTTCCTACTACTTTCTTCAATGTCAATGAGTTAACTTCATTGTTATCATCATACAATTCGCAAACGCCCAGAATCACGTTTGGAAGTTATACCGATATTAAGTCATAACATAAGACCTTATAACAATGACGTATTGTCAGTGAGACAAAGACCGAGTTCAGTGTGCCATTTGTGATCCAGTAACATCTGTCATCAATGACTAAATAATGGAAAGTATGTCAGCAAACACTGCATGAATTCTAGGAATGTTGGCGCACTGTGTCTGAAATTGTCCTCAAACACCTGTTCGTTGTAACAGGTGTTGTGGCCTATTGTGTCTTGCCGCGTGTACTCGCCATCACTCAGGCGCGCACGCCGTTCTCGGGGCAAAGTGATTCTAATGACCATCCAGCCACCCTGGTAAAACACCTGGATACTTATCTAGATACGTATGATGGTCTGAAAGCATATTATGGTTTCAATAATAGTCTACTTGTAAATCGGCAAGTGAACCTTTGTTCTAAATAGAGAAGATTATCATGTTATAACTTTATTGTGTTATAAATCGTTGGTTTAAAATATAAAGAGTATGATTATCTCGTTTTCTTTGAAACGGTCTAAAGAATTTGGTTTTATGTACATAAAATTCTAGGGATACACAAATAGTTTTTGAATTTAATATTTCACGTTTGAGAATAATATACACTGTATTAACGTAACCAAAGCTAACGAAACTTGACCTAGTCTAACCTTAACCTAACACTGGATAGGGAGTAGACAATAGCACTACTTACATAGTGGTTTTGAAGTGATTACCTCCAAGGAATCTCCTCCCTGAGGACAGATTGCCAGAGTGTTGAGTGCCGCCACGCTCACCCTCACCGTGTGATGTTATCATCCACCCACACACCTCATGCGCCACCCTATGTGGTCCCGAGTGTGTCTACCTCTTGCCATGCGCCACCCTATGTGGTCCCGAGTGTGTCTACCTCTTGCTATGCGCCACCCTATGTGGTCCCGAGTGTGTCTACCTCTTGTCATGCACCACCCTATGTGGTCCCGAGTGTGTCTACCTCTTGTCATGCACCACCCTATGTGGTCCCGAGTGTGTCTACCTCTTGCCATGTGTGTGTCATACCACATGCAGTCAGTGTATGAAGCATCACTCCTCTGAAATCTCACACATTCAGTCATGTATGGTATCGTTGAGGACTGCCATACCACTGTGATGTCCACACCTGTTGCTTCGTCACAGATGAGTGTGTAACCAGCTGTCCAGACCATCATCAGAGCTGTTGTATGAGTTGTGGTATAATTGTTGATGAGGGCCTGGTACTGTAAGTAAACATTTTGTGTTGCTTAATTGTTTCTCTGAGTGCCGATCTCAGTGATCTGCAAGCTATTCTCACCTACCGAACTGTGATCTGTGAGTTGTTCTCTGGAACATGTGAAGAATGAGATAAGATTCACCCAACTGCGTACACTTTGAAGTTCAATGCGTCTGATGTTTTGATTACCTGAGCATCCTATTGAGCAACTGTGCCCCAGATGCATACTGAAAGTGACCGAAAAGCCAAGTTAATAATTGGCTTTCCTGTCACTTTCTTAAGAAGTCAAGAAAAAGTAGTATCCAGCAAACTCTATCAAGTAAACACTATCAAGTTTGTCATGCACGACTTTCCCCCTTCTAAATCCATGTTGACCTTTTGTTACAAATTTGATCCTCTCCAGATGTTGTTATTCTCAACCTGATTAGTTATTCCAACACTTTACAAAGAACACTTGTCAGTGATACTGGTCTTTCGTTTGTGCCTCCTGTCTATCTCTATTTTTCAGTATTTGGACAACGTTTGCATTTTTTTCTAGAATTCTGGGAGCTTTCCAGCCTCAAATATTTTATTGAAAATTGTAGTCAGCAGTTGACAAAGTATTTCTGCAACTTCCTTCAACAGCTGTATGATATTAGGTCTGGCTCTATTAATTGCAATGGGTCTAATTCCTGCAGGTGTTTCTTTCATTCTCTAGAGTGACTACTATATCACTTCATCAATCACTACATCATCCAATGTTAACTTTCGCCTTTCCATCTTGTAAATGTGGTGACGTAGTTGTGCTTACAGGGGATGAGCTTGGCTCTTTGGTCGTGCCTCTCAACCGTTGTACAGGTTCTTGAGTTTTTGGGTTCTATCATATCTAAATTTTCAAATGTGCACGGAGTCTGCCTCCACCACATAACAACTGCCAAGTGCATTTCATTTGTTAACTACTCTGACCCTGACAAAAATCCTTCTAATGTTTCAGTGGTTAATTTGAGTAGTAAGATTTTACCTGTGTCGCCTTGTTCGTGTTCTACCCATTCTAAATAGTTTGTTTTTGATGACCAAACCACAACCCAGAAGATGGAAAAGCGACGACGTTTCGGTCCATCAGAGGGGGGGGGGGGGGGCAACACCCCCCTCTGCTGTCTTTCTCACGCTTTTATCATAGTTACATTTAAAACTATGAATCGATTAACTTCAGCGTCTAACCTGTTCAACTTATTGACAGCTCTAAAGCTGTAAAAGTTCTTTCTGACGTCTCTGTTACTCATTTGAGTCTCAAATTTCCATCTATGATCCCTTGTTCTACTGCTCCTAGCTTTGAACAATACTGTTTTGTCTACCTTGTCAATTTCTTTTAGAATCTAATATGTTATCATATCCTCCGTATCTCTCCTTTCCTCTAATGTGGTAAGGTTAAGTTATCTCAGTCTTTCCTCAATACTTAATCTCTTCAGCTCAGGAGCTGGTCACGTTGCATGTTGTTGGATCCTTTCTAGTTTCTCCTTGTCCATTTTCATGCAAGGGTTCATGTTTGGGATGCACATTCAAGTGTGGGTCTCACCTTGGCTGTATATAGAGCCTGGAAACCACCTTTATCCAAACTTCTGAAGGATATACGGATGTTGGCCAATATGCCATTTGAAGCTGTTGTTATTCTGCTAATGTGGGCTTCTGGCATCAGATTTGAGGTTATGTTCACTTGCAGGTCTTTCCCATTTTCTGACTGAAGAATCTGACCTCCCTTTATCTTGTACTGTTGTACTGGTCTTTGCTTTCCTGTTCCAATCCTCATAACTTTGCATTTGGCTGCGTTAAACTCTAGAAACTTTTTCAGACTACTTCTGGCGTATGTCCAAATCCGCTAGCATTCCCTCACAATCTATCCCTGTCCTGACTTCTCATCAGTTTTGCATCATCTGCAAACATTGATACGAAGGAGCAAGTTTCTTCTGTCAGGTCGTTGACATATATTAGAAACAGTGTGTGTGTTGGGGAGGGGGGGGGGAAGGGGTAGAAGTGGGAGGCAACAATAACAACTTATTATGCAGATGAACGTTAGCAAACCTTGTAAACCAAACGTTGTCTGCTGGAATAGTCTATTCTGAGATACTACGCTGCAGACTACTTAAAAAACAATGCGTGACATGCATAAATGACCAAGAATGCACCAGGCCTCCCCCGGTGGAGTCTCCTCCATATGCACAAAACACGAAACTTAATGAACTAATGCCGATTAATTTGGAGAAGTTTGTATCCCGATACACCACGACAGTGTCACTATATGAACTATGACTATTGCTCTTAATTTGGATAAACCAACGTGCCTGCATTAACAAAGACATAAAACCCTGACGGGCGCAATTACACTAATTATGGTTTATGAGCAACAAACACAAAACTCCTCTGAAACTTTATATAACCCGAGGAGTGTCGTCAATGGGCGCGTTACTGCCAAGTGGCCCGACGAGTAAGGACTCCACATAGCAGTAACTGTCACGCCTGACCCCCCGCCCCCCACCCACCCTCCTCTTCCTGCTGCAAGGGAGGACCACGAGGTGGGGTGCAGGGAGGGGAAGTGAGGGGAGAGGTTGCAGGCCAAATAGTCGGGATGGGGGTTGGAGAGGGGAGGTGGGCAGGAGATTGAAGGAGAGGGGGAGTGGCTGCAGGCCAGAGGGTGGGGACAAGGAAGGCTGGCAGGGAGGTGGAGGGCTACACTCATACGCCAGCTCTCGCCACGAGCTACTCCACCTCTCTATTGGTGTTGCAGCTTTGCTTGAACTGGTTGCGGTGTGTGCTGACGGTAGCTGATGTGTTAATGGTGTGACTTGACGGTAGCTAGTGTGCTGACGGTACCTGGTGGGACCTGATGGGACCTGGTGGGACCTGGTGGGACCTGGTGGGACCTGGCGGTACCTGTTGTGCTGAGGGCGTGACCAGCTCTGTACACAGGCCAACATAGTGTGACCTGATAAATAAATAATTCTACGACTCACAATAAATGGTAGCGGGTGAGTGTGAACGAGACCAGTATTGAATGTGACATCCCGTGACCCACGATAATCCTGAGTGGCACTGAGCTACTGAGTGCCAGGTTCCCGAGTGCGAGGCAAGCTGCGGCACCTGCTGTTGCAGCTTCAGCGACGACGCCTCCACCTACCCTGCACGGTATGTGTTACACTTCTCCAGTTCCAGCCGTCCACAGTGTTAGTCCTCACCAGCACACCGTGTGCTTGTTCGGGTCGTTGACTGCACTCCATACATGGGACCTGTTTTGGTAATACACTGTTTACTTGACCAGACCACACTAGAAGGTGAAGGGACGACGACGTTTCGGTCCGTCCTGGACCATTCTCCCTGGACCACAATCGACTTGAGAAGGGTCCAGGACGGACCGAAACGTCGTCGTCCCTTCACCTTCTAGTGTGTGGTCTGGTCAACATACTTTAGCCACGTTATTGTGACTCATCGCCTGCACACTGTTTATTTCCTTCTAACGTACCTCCTCAGATAATTATCTTTATTTGTTTAGTAAAAGTATTTTTGAGTTTTCTGATTTACAAAAATAAAAACTCGTGGCCAAGGTGGGCCAGTGAGTGGAGTGTTGGTGGAGGTGATCGTAGGGAGGAGCCCGTTGGGGGGAAGATGTGGTAGCCCAAGACTTTGCTTTATGACCAGTTGTGGTCATGCCAATATTCCGGTGCACAGAAAGGCAATTTGCAACCGTGTATGTACTTATGCTTTAGCTCTTGGGCCCAGTTTTACCTTCAACCACCGGTTGTTTCTGCAATAAAGTCTTACCTGTTGCATATATTTTTTGAGATTGTGACAAGTTTGCTTGTATACTTTGATGGTTTAGTTCCTTCCGTTTTCCTACTCCCCTTACGTTAAAACAAGGACTTTTCCCATCCAACTTAAGTACTTTATTTGTCTAGATCATGTCTCCTCTTTCGTTTCTTGCGTCGTAAGTTCTAACTCCTTCCACCTTTCTTAGTGACCCTGCCCACGCAAATCTGTGTCGAGCCTCGTTAAAAAAAACGTCTGTACCTTTTCGAGTGTCCTTATTTGATTTCTATGGTTAAGGAAAACTGTTCACCAGTTTATAGTATGCGTTTGAGGTAAGACTTGGTGTTACCTGTCAACAAGGTAGGTATCCCTCATTGTAGACTGCTCGGCGGGTCTACCCCCATTGTAGACTGCTCGGCGGGTCTCCACCATTGTAGACTGCTCGGCGGGTCTCCCCCATTGTAGACTGCTCGGCGGGTTTACCCCCATTGTAGACTGTCCTGACACCTGGCCTCAGGTCTATCACCTTACACCTGCTGCTACTAAAACCCAACAGTCATTTCTCAACAGCTTGTCTACTTGTTTTTGCAGTACTTTACATTCCTTATCTGTCTTGACTCTTTTCATTAATTTGATATCATCTGACATAAATGACAAACATTATGGGCCACAGAGCCGATCCTAGAGAGGATCGGCTAGGATCTATAGAGCTTGTTACTCTATACCAGTCCGACCTCTCACCCTCACTGTCTACTGTCTATTAGGTACTCTACACACTTTGTTCATTAGGTACTCTGTTACCAGTTTGACTGCTTTTCCGGTTATTCCAGCAGGGTTTTTCAGGTTGTGTAGAATATTTTTTTTTGAACTGTGTTAAAAGTTTTGTTTTGTAGTGTATAAGTATGCAATCTGGTAAGCTTTAATGTCCTGTATTTGCTTGTCAATTATTCTTTGAACTCCAAGAGATTCATTAGTTATGAATTCCCATTTATAGAGCTAAGTTGGAGTTTGCTTACAAAGCTAATCCTTTATTTATAAAGTATTCTAATTATCTAATCTTTATTTTTACTTTAATCATAGGGGATGATTGCAAGTGCCACTGGTCTGTAGTCAAGTGCCTGCTTTTTCTTTCAGTTTTGGTATATACGTACAACAGTTGTCCTTTTCTATCTGTTAGGCAGCTCTCTTTTCACTAGTGAATCATACACGACCAAGTAATGCTAGAGACATACCGATGGACTGTCCAGATGTTTTCAACACCCATGGTGACATAGTCTGGTTCTTCTCTCATTTGATCTATTGGCGCTATAGTTGCCTCATTACTGCTGATGTTCGTCAATATGTGTCGGTTTCTTGTCTTGCGTTACCTCTTCTCCTAGCACCAGGAGCAGTGCCGACTCCGTCTTCAACACGCCAGGAAACTTGTGAAATTGTGAAGCAATTTGCCGCTTCACAAATTTCATTGTAATTCTGGTTTTGTATGTTCTTGTTTAAATCAGTCAATCACTTATTTTCCTTCTATTATGTGTGTGTGTATTCACCTAGTTGTGCTTGCGGGGGTTGAGCTCTGCTCTTTCGGCCCGCCATTCAACTGTTACTAACTACTATTTTTTTCCACACCACACACCACACACACACACCACACCACACCACACCACACCACACCACACCACACCACACCACACCACACACACACACACACATACACACACACACACACACACACACACCAGGAAGCAGCCCGTGACAGCTGACTAACTCCCAGGTAACTATTTACTGCTAGGTAACAGGAGCATTAGGGTGAAAGAAACTCTGCCCATTGTTTCTCGCCGGCGCGCGGAATCGAACCCAGGATCACGCGCCCAGCGTGCTGTCCGCTCAGCCACCGGCCCCTAACTAGTGTGTACTCACCTAGTTGTGTTTGCGGGGGTTGAGCTCTGGCTCTTTGGTCCCGCCTTTCAACCGTCAATCAACAGGTGTACAGATTCCTGAGCCTATTGGGCTCTATCATATCTACACTTGAAACTGTGTATGGAGTCAGCCTCCACCACATCACTTCCTAATGCATTCCATTTGTCAACCACTCTGACACTAAAAAAGTTCTTTCTAATATCTCTGTGGCTCATTTGGGCACTCAGTTTCCACCTGTGTCCCCTAGTGCGTGTGCCCCTTGTGTTAAATAGCCTGTCTTTATCTACCCTATCAATTCCCTTGAGAATCTTGAATGTGGTGATCATGTCCCCCCTAACTCTTCTGTCTTCCAGCGAAGTGAGGTTTAATTCCCGTAGTCTCTCCTCGTAGCTCATACCTCTCAGCTCGGGTACTAGTCTGGTGGCAAACCTTTGAACCTTTTCCAGTTTAGTCTTATCCTTGACTAGATATGGACTCCATGCTGGGGCTGCATACTCCAGGATTGGCCTGACATATGTGGTATACAAAGTTCTGAATGATTCTTTATACAAGTTTCTGAATGCCGTTCGTATGTTGGCCAGCCTGGCATATGTCGCTGATGTTATCCTCTTGATATGGGCTGCAGGAGACAGGTCTGGCGTGATATTAACCCCCAAGTCTTTTTCTTTCTCTGACTCCTGAAGAATTTCCTCTCCCAGATGATACCTTGTATCTGGCCTCCTGGTCCCTACACCTATCTTCATTACATTACATTTGGTTGGGTTAAACTCTAACAACCATTTGTTCGACCATTCCTTCAGCTTGTCTAGTTTTTCTTGAAGCCTCAAACTGTCCTCTTCTGTCTTAATCCTTCTCATAATTTTGGCATCGTCCGCAAACATTGAGAGAAATGAATCTATACCCTCCGGGAGATCATCTACATATATCAGAAACAAGTGTGTGTGTGTGTGTGTGTGTGTGTGTGTGTGTGTGTGTGTGTGTGTGTGTGACTCCTGGCCTATTTTTCCTTTACTACTACATTTTTTTTCTCTCTCTCTCACACACACACATCCTGAGGATACAGCTGTCTAACTTCCAGGTACCTATTTACAGATAGATGATAAGAGGCAACAGGTGTGTGTGAGGAGGGGGGGGTTATGTACTCGCCTAGTTGTCCTTGCGAGGTATGAGTTTCAGCTTTTTGGTGCCGCCGCTCTACCGTCAATCAACTGGTGTACAGGTTCCTGAGTCCATTGGGCTCTGTCATATCTACATGTAAAGCTGTGTATGGAATCAGCCACTACCACACCACTTCCTAATGCATTTCATTTGTTAACTACTCTGACACCGAAAAAATCTGTATATATCTCTGTGGCTGATCTGAATATTAAGTTTCCATCTGTGTGCCCTTGTTCGTGTTCCGCCCATGCTAAATAACTTGCCCTCAGCTTCCGTCTTACTTTTCCCTTCGGTAATTATCCCTTTGTTTCCGGTCGCTTCCTTGGAGAAGTTATTTTTGCTCCAGAGGATACTCAAAAGTGTGTACACAGTGATTACTCATTCCAATGTGGATTTCTAGTTTGATTTCCCTTATGTCCGATTCGTTCATAGTGAATATCAGGTCAAGTCTGGCCAGATTGTCATTGCCTCTCATTCTTATGGGTCCCTTGACATGCTGGCTCAGAAAGTGTCTCGCTGCCACATCCAATACTTTACCGCCCCATGTATCTGCACCTTCATGTGGTTCTTTGTACTCCCAGTCTATCTTTCCGTGGTTGAAGTCCCCCATTATTAAAAGTCTGGGTCCATTCCTGCAAGTGATTGAAGCCGCTCTCTCTCTAATATTATTGGTTGCCATGTTTTTTTTTATCATATTCCTGTCTGGGTCTTCTGTTATTTAATGTAGGGTTATAAATCACTGCTTCTATTATCTTAGGTCTTCACATTGTTGTATTGCCTGTAATGTAGTCTCCAAACCCTTCACAGTCCAGGATATCCAACTCTTCACAACTCTAGTCTTTCCTTATCAGCCTGGCCACTCCTGCCTCTTTTGCTTCCCTCTTTCTTTTATTATATAGTAGTCCTGTCGAAACACTGCATTTGTTATGATGACAAATAATTTAATGTTTTCAGTGCAATTACATTTGGATTTTCTTCTTGGCCTTTCCTCAGGTTCACTTGCTTTATTTGTAATTCCATCTATGTTTGATTGTATTACCTTGAAACTCACTTTCCTACGTTCATTATCATATATAATCTCCACAATGGTGTAGGTAGTTGTTCCAATGGCAGGGCAATTTGGGTGTGTGTGTTGTCCTATGGAGTAGTTAACAAGGGTTTGGATTGTGGTGGGTACATGGGGGGGCTTGGGGTCTTCGGGCTTGCCTAGGCCTATTTGGGGCACAAGAGAGTTCAAGGGGGGGGTGTTGGAAAGGGGTTATTGGGGTCAAGGGTGAGAGAAAGGATTAGGGTGGGCATTGTACGAGGGCGAC